TGGAGGAAGAGGAGAAGAGCAGCTCCAGTGATGAGGACAGAGAACAGCTCAACAAGAAGAATATAGAAGACTGGAAACAGCAGCAGCTCATGACGTACGTTAGAATGCATTTTGCACTTCTCTCCTTTTTATTATTGTTTTTCCCACCCCATTTAATAAATGTTATTTGTACCATTTTCCTCTTTTGTAATCCTCCAGTTTTCTTTTTTTTTAAACTTTCAGAGGAAAGGCTGCAAAGAATGCCAACTTCGAGGCACTTCCTGATAATTGGAGGGATCGACTGAAGAAAAGGAAGATGAACAGCACGTAACATGGGACCTGAACAACTTAAATAACGCCCCCCCAAAAAAAATGATATAATGTCATGTTATTGTTTCTTCCAAGCTTCATTTAGCTAAGTTGCTCAGTCGTTTATGAATATTTTTTGTATTCAAAATGAAGACTGAGATCAACCGCTGGGTTTGATTGTCCTTCCTCATTTTTTTAGGTACAAATGTAAATGTGCCACCTCTTCAGTTTGTAATGAACTTGGATAGAATGTATTCAGGTGGCCACAGCAATATATGTATGAGAGTCATCTGTTTTAATTAAACTTTTACACCAGTGTACATACCATGTATATTAGGACGAGCTGTGTTGGTGGTCTCTGAATGTGTAAAGTTTTTGTACATTTATTAAATTGTTTTTTCCAATGTGTGTCAAAGTTTGTACCTTTTTCCGCAACATGTGATAAAGTGACACATTAGATGCATTTGCTCAATCTAACAAGACAAAATACTAATGCAGTGCAAATTCTCTGTATTCAGTCTGTCCTAACTAAATGCTATTAAGTAATGCAGTTTAACTACTGCTTCCGCTGAAGAACACAGAAATTAATTTCTGAAAAAATGATATTGTGGCTCTTGTGGAGGTGATTTTCCTTTAACTCGGCCACCTTCAAAATGATGTGTTCATTTATAGAGATCTCGATTAAAATTGTGCGATTCCTTGAGTTTTGGTCTCTTAGCTGTAAATATTCTCAGATGAGATTACTGTGTGTTTATATGAAAGCACTTGGATTGTGTTCAGTTAAAGTCCAATCGTTTAAACAACTGATTGTAAAATCATAGTTGCAACCCTAATGTAAATCAGGAGTCACCAACATGGTCCCTGAGTGTACAACGTAGCCCCAATGACAATCCGTCGTATCTAATCTAAAATTTACTAACCAGATATAGGACATTTTTGGTTTCCTAGAAAACGGCCATTTTAGCTTGCGAAAATGAGTGCAGCGTGTCCTTTTAAGTTAAGTCAGCTTTTATTGTCAAATATGCTCTATGTGTAACATACAGCACAGATGTAATTACTTTCCTCTCAACTACAGTGCAAACATGTAGTGCATTGAACACACACAGCTAAAATTTACATAAAATTACATAAGGCATAAATATATACGTGTTCAATAAAATAAATAATGTATAATAATAAATAATACAAAAAATAAAGTGTCTCATAGAGCAGGGGTGTCAAACTCATTTCACATTGTGGGCCACATACGGACTCGGTAGATGTCAAGTGGGCCGAACCATTAACATTATACCATACTGTGCTATGAATCACCAAAATATCATCTCTTTCCTTTGTTTTGGTCTCAAGAAACATTGATTGGCGCTTTCATATCATTTGCTACGTTGGGTCTATCTCAGTGACAGACTGAGACTGCTGTTTTCTTCCCCAATCAAAACAATGTTGTCTTCTACTGCAGTGTTTTTCAACCCCTGTGCCGCGGCACACCAGTGTGCCGCAAGACATTGTCAGGTGTGCCGCGGGAAAATATTCAATTTGTATGCCTGTGCAGTCTATCGCCCAGAAATTAATCGTGTAGTACCCTCCCATACCGCTAGGGAGCAGCAACAGCTAGCCAATTGCCTTGTGTTTAGACGAGAGACAAGCAAATTTGTGATGCATGAATGCAGGACGACGGTGAAACAATAAA